TTTAATTGTTTACATATTATTAATAACATTATAGATATGTAAGTACATACTACTACTGACTGAACCAGTAACAAAGAAAACAACATGTCGCTTTTATTGCTGATTCTTTAATTAGATCTGGGGGCAATAAGTACATGTTGGAGAAATCTTGAGAAAACTTTCTCAATTTAACATTTCTTGAGAAATGGTTAAAATTTTTACCAAATTTTAATTACATACTAAAGATTTCATTTTTACTTGCAAAATGAATTCAGTTAGTAACTTAAGGTTTAGACATGATAGAAATCGCACATTTTTTAATAATGGATGTAAACACAAAAGATATGCAACTCTTTTATGAATCTTAAAATATTTATTTATTTGGTAAGAGTAATATATTTATTATAGTTTAACAAATGTTTATAAACAAAGTTTCTTGTACGTTCACATTAGAGACCACATTTAGAAGAATATTCTATATAAAACAAAATTTATATTTTTTATATGAACTTAAAATTAAATCAAACTGAGTTGCACAGTTCATTCTAAATATGGCCATAATTTCATATACAACTGCTGTAATTAGATTTTGTTGCTCACATTAAATCTCACCATATAAAAGTTTCTTATCAAATAGTAATTCTCCCATTCTTCCATTAGTTGCTACCATTTTACCTAAAGTTGACACTTTTCCAGCAAGATCACGTTGTGCTTTGTATTGTTCATCCAAAAACTCTCCTGTGAGGTAGTCTACCAACTGAAATTAAACAATTTAGTAAAATGAAGTAAATTTAAGACAGTAACCACATTACTTTCTATTACAATTTGACTTACATGATAATCATTGAAAGAGTATGATGATTTTGATGGTTTTTCACACTCTTTAGCAATACTGTGAATACTCTCTGTAACCATAGTTTCTAACTTAAGAGCTTCTCTAAGAGCATCAAGTCCACTATTTATAGGTCCATGTATTAGAGTCTAAAAGCAATATTTGTATATTTTAATTTTCTTAATTATAAATCGTGTATTATACATGAAGATTGAATCATATTTTTGATAACTTTAAAATGCTCACCACAGGGAATTCCTTAAGATTGGTAATATTATTTGTTAATTGACCACGCATTAACAGATAGTCAATAATTTTGATTGCATGTTCCCTTTCTTCATTAGCAGAATCAAAGAAGAACTTGGAAAATCCAGGACGATTAATTGCATCGCGAGCAAAATGAGCGCCCTAAAATATGTGAACATTATATATGTATAAATGTGACATTTTTAACAGGTTACACTATAAAGTAATAAAAACAAAATGAAATTACCATACTAAGATAATTAATGGAAGCACGCATTTCCATTTTCACTTGAGCTTCCAACTTTTTAATGCAAGGTTTAACCATATCAGTCCAATCGGGTATGTCAGCAGGCATAAGTGTACCTATAAATATTATTAAAATTGATTAGTAATAAAATCTAAAATAATTAAATTTTATAATTATTAAAATTTTAAATAATTAAATTG